GTAGTAGTACTGGTGGGAGCAGCAGCAGCAGCCCAAGCAGTAACAGCCTTGGTCGTGGTTGTGGTTTATTATCGGTTTTGTCTTTACTTGTTCTATTTGGTAGTCCGGGCGAAATAAGTCTTGCTGCCTCAGTTGCACCCTTTGCCGATGCGAGACTGAAAAAGGGCAAGTGTGCAGCAGGTCGTCCTCGTGCCAACAATATCTTGCTGCGAGGAGGCTGCCGTGTTTTGCCAGCCGGGAGCCGCTGAGGCCATGGAGGTGCCACACCGCAGAGAAAGTCAGAGTCAGGCGAACAAGCACCCAGCCATGCTCTGTCTCTGTCCCGTTATGAGTTGCCGAGTCACCAGGCTCAAGCAAGAGAAGTGGTGCAGACGGCAGCAGAGGCTGCCATGCAGGCTTGCGAAGCGGCAGCTGCAAACTGAAGTTTTGTCACATTCTGAAGATGCAGGACGCGGCAGAGGCACCCCTTTCCTGGCAGGTGAGTAGCGGCGTAGCTCACCCACTCATGCACGGTGCACCTGCAACTTGGCAGGTCGACGAGCAGGCATGGGCTCGGCGTTGAGAGTATATGCTGTGTCCTCGACTCACCTTTGCTAGCATCCTGGTGGCAGGACCCAGCATTGCGCTGTCCGCCGATCGTGCCACCGAGAGGCACAAACCACCCGGGGCACACCAGTGCTTCACAACTGCTTCGCACAACCGCAAAATTTGCCTCGTCGCAGTTCTGATGTCGCTATTGATATTGGCATGTCATTTACTTTCTTTCCGACGCGCATTCAAAGTTCGAGGTTGACATCCCGACGATTTGAGAACTATGTAACTGTTGGCTGCATGATCGTTTTGGCACTTGCACCCACGATGCCCCAAGCACCCATTCCCCGATGATGTTCTCCACTTGGGAAACGAAACCGGCACAACACGAGACCATCTTGCAGCTATCCAGAAGCACAGCTCATCGGCAGCCGAAAATATCTGCAAGACCAGTCCGATTCTGGACGGCAGCACGCAGCAACACATACTCCGCAGACGTCAAGGGGCCACGGAGTCCCCGCCACAGTCGAAGGCAAATGGGCGCAGTGGTCCGCAATCGTGGTGGTGTTAAGACTGAAAGTTTATTCAAGCATCCCGGGGTTTGGGGAAAAAGGATGAAGCATGGATCGGCCCAGATAGTCACACTCACACACGCCGGCCCACCTCCCACCCGCCAACCCGCCCGCCCACCCACCCACACACCCACCCACC